GTCACCCTACTCTACCATAACGAACTATCGAATGAAACAAACTGAGCACTAAGCTACATCGTAAATACCGTAAGGGTTAGGATTTTGATCGGTAGGTGGCTCTTGCTCTGTTAAGCCCCTTATCTTCGCACGTTCCCCCTCCCGCCCCTGTAGGCGGAGACTGGCCCTGCCACCTTCCCATCCTGCTTCATGTACTCTTACCAAATTTCAACGCTATAGGTCCACGTGAACAGGAGTTATGGTTTGCGGCTCACAATTTCTATCACGCACGCCCCGCTCCCTGTGAGCGGAATTGCCTCCTGCTACTTGCCATAAATAGTCCCACCCTGCCTTCCTTCCACCGTACTCCTACCAAACTTGAACCCTCTAAACCCACGGAAACAGGAGTCATGAATTATCAATCAGGCACACACACCGACACGCACGCACACACACCAACACACCGACAAACCAACAGACACACTCAGCGAATTATATATAGTAGGATAATGAGGCCTTATAAAGCAATGTGAAGATAAGTCAGGCTAGTATTTCCAGGAGCTGAGCCTCCTTCTTGCAAATCTGTCTGTGTAACCAAGGTTCTCGAAGTGCTAACAGTTTATTTCCGATCTGGCAGTTTCAAAGAAAACATGCACAGGGCGTGTAGGTGAGGGCTTTATTAGGAATTCTTGCCACAACCATCACTGTTAAAAAGACGTTTTTGTAGAGCCTATGATGATGCAGTTACTTGTATGCTACACCACAGACATTGCGGCACCGAAACGATGTTTGAATCGCTCACGAGTGGCTTACGGTACATGTGCAAGGATCAGGAAGACGGTAGGCAGCGTTTCGCGTGCATGACCACTTTCACTGAATCAATCTCCTCTCTTATTTCAGCTTTTAATGCTCTGGCCGATTGCATAGATGAGAACAGTGGTCGCGTTAGACAAGGTTTATTCGTATTCTTGTTCCTGGCTTATGCTATTACCAGGTTGCCCCTATGCTTTTACAATCAATATTGAACAGACTGCGATCTTCAATGCCACCCAAACTCTTTGGCTACTGGAATAGCCTTGAAAGATACTGTAATGAATCAGCTTGAACATCCATTGGTCAGCAAGAGGGTGAACATGCGACGAATCATCGAACCACATATGAGCCGCTTCTTCTTCAGTCAAGGCTGCAAGTAAGGTTTAACATATATGAAGAGCGGAATTTCAGTTCAACAGCAATCTGTACTACCAGTAAAAAAGCAATAGAGCATAAATTAGACTACTCTCGAGATGCACCGTGTATTCGAAACTTGTGCCTCTCACTCGCCCTCCTGTCAGAATCACTTGGGTTTACCAAACGATTTTCAAGTCAGTGATTTGTTCCTTCCAGGCGATTCTGGTACCGACTGTTGTATTTCGAAGAGGTGGAAGGCCTAGCGTTAGTGGACCAGCGAAAAAAGTTAAAATCAGCTCCCGAAGAGGAGACGGGTAGTTGGGTCGGTCATAATGGAGTTGAGACTCTGAATGACCCAACTACTCGTCTCAGGTTCGGAAGCCGGTGATGCCTGTATGCTCCCATCGTGATTAAATCAGTCCAACTTTTGGCGTCGAACTTTTTTCATCTCGAAGTGATCTATTACTAACCATTCCACCCGAAACCACATCCGCAAGTTTAGGATCGCCCAGTGTCTCATGGGATGCACTAGGACAAAGTACAATATGCTCTGTGAAGGCACCGCCGGTTCACTGCTTCTGGTCCGTTTCGATTATCTTCTCCTGATTTCCCCTTCCTATTCTGCTTTAATTTCAGACCCTTTCAGGAGATGCTCACGCTTCCATTATCGACCAATGATGCTAACTCAATCCTATTTCCCTCTACTAGCCACCTGGCGTCGTTCTTGGGTGGCCTGCTCCCACATCAGTGCTCCTTCTTGACCGCACGTGAAGGCAAACGCGGCAGCTTCCGAATTGATCCAGCTCTCGACAACGAAATCAAGAGGATGTATTTGGAGAAAAACGTAAGAAGGGTTGTTCAGAAAGATTTTACGTTCGATTTACTAAATTTGTGACATTTTTGGTTGAATGCTGAGATGACGTCTCCATCGAAATTACTAGTTTCT